TTAGGGGTGTATGAACTTTTGTGCTATATGTTGAACCCTGGATTGCTGTATGATATTATTGACTTGCCCTAATCGATATGGACCTTGTTTATGTTGACGATTCCATATATGTTGCCAGATGTGGGTTTAATTGTGAATATGTCTTATGATGGTTCGAGAAGGTGATTGGATATGATTTTTCATGATTGTTGTATTTGGATGTACAAGTGGAAAATATATATTCCCTGGTGATATTATGATGTTTTAAGGAGGATGACTTGCACGAGGGTTTATCCCGAGGAAGTGCAACTATACGACTCCTGATTTATCTATGTTGAGCCAATTGTGGCCTGGTCAAGTATGTGCAAGTAATGAATTATGGTTAAGCAAGATGAGATATGTATCAGGTACAAGGATACCAAATATGAATGTTGTGGTCTCACGGTCAATTACGTAGTAATTAGGGCTCCCTATGCTATTACTCTATTATGATATGTATGATAGTCACACCTCTCATGTGGTGGTGACTGAAGAATTCTTATGAGATATGACCACACCCAGAGTGGTGTCGGGGTATGACTACACCCAGAGTGGTGTGGGGTATGTATGACCACATCCGACGGGATGTTGGGGTATGTATGACTACATCCGACGGGATGTGGGGTATGTTTCCCGGGAGAGTTATTAGCATGGGAGTAGCCAGGCGCCTATAAGTAAAACATGATAAGATGCATATGCATAAGTCAAGGTGGTTGAGTCTTTTGCCTATTGGGATGTCGGAGGGCTGAGATCTGATCCTAGTGCTTTGGCTTGTTTGCTAGATGTATGGTAGTGGTATGCTATGTTATGAACTCACGATGCTATGATTATCTCACTCAGCTATGAGCTGACCCTCTTTTATTCTTCTTCTTTGCTTATGCTATGTGTAAGTAGATCATCAGCAACAACAGTAGATAGGTGTATAGGTGGGAGCTGAGCAAGAGTTGAAGGCAAGATGAGGTATGGTCTTCAACCATTCTGTGCTTGGACTACTACTCGGGATTTTGGCCAGTGATCCACACCTTTTTGTAAAAATGTTTTGAGAACGTTTTTCATGTGCATACTAGCTTCTGATCTAGTGTGAGATATCCACAGGTGTGGAAAGTTAATGATATGTGTATATGTTGTGTAACTGTGTAAGTTGTGACGATTATGGTATGTATAAGTATGGTATGCAGTTAGGAAGTATGAAAAGTGTGACTATGGCTAAGAAAAGCCAATGCATATGGTTGTGAGTATATATGTTTGTGATGAATTATTTTGCAGGTTAAGTTGCAAGAACTGTTAGCCCATTACGCGAGTAATTCATGTCGAAATTTTATTTAGGTAAATTTTGATAATTAATGTAACACCCGAGATTATTTCCGCTACAATTGTATGAACAATATGATTAGGCAAAACGTATAGGGTAGGGTGTTACAGTTTCTCTCTCAACACCAAACAAAACCAAACGTTCGTTTCCCTCTGTCCTCAATCCCCATATCCAATTCCCACTCCCCAGAACATTGAACCCTAGATTGAGAGGGAGAGAGAGACAGTCGAATACAAATATTTCCATTCGTAACTCTTCGAGAATGGTATCTAAATCAAAATCCACCTCTTGCACAGTAAGCCAACACTCAATCTTTCATCACTTCTCTTTTCTGTGTTTCTATGGGTCATTACGATTCTGTGTTCTCTTACCACTGTTAGGGTTTGGTGCTGCTGTTTTAGTCCTTGCTTATCTACTTTTCTTGTTTTCCTAGTAGATAGTAGATGCTTTAAGTTGGGTTCTTGGAGAACTTTGCTTTTGAGTCATGTAGGTTGTTGGTCTCTTTGTTTCTTATTCTCTAAACTAGTTTTCTGAATTGATGAATGTCGCACCATCTTTTTTTCCTTCTTTTTTCTGTAAACAGGTGAGCTCCATCTTTTAACTTTGTGTGTGCTTCATTTGTGGTTATGTATATGTTTCCCTATGTCACGTTTACAATAAAAAAGATTAATGTAGCTTTGTTAATTCCAGGTTTCTGAACTGAGGAAATTGACCGATGGTGTTGTTGTTGATGCTACTGTCGGCGCATCACTGCAAGCATGTCCAAGTTTAAATCCAGTCGCCGGTGGTACTGAGAATGCAACAACAATACCAGTTGTCAACCGTGCTCCTATACCACCTACTGCCAAACTGAAGAGAAAGAGAAAAAAACCAATGAAGGCAAGGTCAGATGTTTGGACCCAATTTTCAAAAGCTAAAGAGGGTGATGATGTGGTGTCTAAGTGTAGTTTCTGTGGTAAGGTTTACTATGCCGATACATCAAAAGATGGAACTAGCCCTTTACGATTTCATATGCTTTCCTGCAATGAACGAGTGGTTTCTCCGAAACAGCAGCTGCTGAACTTGAAACCTGGTCAAGATGGGGGTGGGAAACTTAGTAATTGGAGCTTTAATCAAGAGGCAATTAGAAAGGCTGTAGCACGTATGATTATTATCGATGAAGAGCCTTTTAGAGTAGTTGATAGGGAAGGGTTTAGGCATGTGATGGCAATTGCATGTCCTAGGTTTCAAATGCCTTCAAGAACTACCATTACAAGGGACTGTTTTAAGCTGTTTTCAGATGAAAAGGATTTGTTGAGACAATCCCTTAAGAAAATTGGTGGAAGGATATCTTTAACTACGGATACTTGGACATCCTTGCAAAACATCAACTACATGACTCTTACTGGCCATTACATAGATGATGATTGGATATTGAAGAAGAAGATCTTGAATTTCTGCACTATTTCTTCTCACAAGGGTAGGGATATAGGAGAACGTATTGAAATGTGCTTACGTGACTGGGGTATTGAGAAAGTATTTGTTGTTGCTGTGGATAATGCTTCTGCAAATGATGTGGCAGTAGAGTATTTAAGAGAGAAACTTGTTGTTCGAGGAACTGCCATTTCAAATGGAAAATATTTTCACATGAGGTGTGCTGCTCATATCATCAACTTAATTGTTAGTGATGGTTTAAAGGAGCATCATCCTTCGGTAAGAAGAGTTCGAGAGGCTTTCAAGTACATAAGGTCATCTCCTTCTAGGCTGGAAAAGTTTAAGGAGTACATTAAACTTGAAAACATAGAAGGGAAGAGCTTGCTTTGTTTGGATGTGCCGACTAGGTGGAACTCCACCTATTTAATGTTGAACACAGCTGAAAAATTCGAAAGGGCATTTGATAGGTATGAGGGAATGGATGGGTATTACACTTTGGACTTGCTTCATAAAGATGATGGACTAATTGGAGGGCCTCCAACTTCCCTAGATTGGGAGAATGCTAGAAAGCTTGTGACCTTCTTGGAACATTTCTATGATTTAACTCTTAAAGTTTCTGGTTCTTCATATGTGACATCTTGTTCATTTTTTCATGACTTGAGTGTTATTCAAGGGATGTTACATAAATGGGAATCTGGTTCTGATATTGATTTGCGTCATATGGCTTCAAAGATGAAGATCAAGTACAATAAGTATTGGGGAGACTTTGACAAAATGAACAAACTGATTTATATTGCCTTTGTGCTTGATCCTAGAGAGAAATTGGAGTATTTGGTGTTTACTCTTGGTGAAATGTATGGAGAGGCAGCAGGAAAAGAATATGGGAACAGGGTTAAAGAGGAAATGTATGAAATGTACGAGGAATATAGGAAAATGAATCAAGTCCCAAGTGAAGTACCTGTCCACATTCCAGGTTCCTTAGTTGTTGAGTTTGGAACCAGCTCAAGCGGTATTGGGAGTACATCAGGGTCAGAGAGGCAAAAATTGATGAGGAAGTCTCGTTTCAAGCAACGAAACTTAGAATCCGGCGTTGAATTGAGTAGAAATGAGTTGGATAAGTACTTAATGGAGCAAGCTGAAGAAGAGGCTGCAGACTTTAGCGTTTTGAACTGGTGGAAGATGAATAGTGCTAGATTTCCAATCCTTGCTTGTATGGCTAGGGATGTTCTAGCCATACCCATCTCCACTGTGGCTTCCGAATCTGCTTTTAGCACTGGTGGCCGAGTTCTTGATGAACACAGGAGTTCTTTAACTCCACTGATTGCACAAGCTCTCATTTGTAGCCAGAATTGGGTGAGATCGTATCCACAGAACACAAGCATTGAAGAAAATACAGTGGAACTGGAAAATCTAGAAGAAGGTAACGAGATTCCACTGCTTGCTTTTTATTTATGCTTATTCATTTGGTAATTTGTGCTAAAAAATGTATTCATGTTTTGTCAATTTTAATTTACAGCTTTAAGTGATGTTACGATCAGTGGCGCTACAGATAGAACTTGACAATGATACTGATGCCCACCATTCCAGGTATAAATATATATTGTTGTTATTCTCAAACCAAAAGAAAGAATGAAAAAAACACTAGGACAGTAGCAGGCTAGCAGCTGCACACGAGACTCTCTGCCCCTGCCACTGCAATATGAGAATAGTGCTACTGTATGCATTTTCAACAAAAGTGCATATTTAAATAATCACCACATGAATACATGATGCCTTCTTGATTTTATTTGAGTGGTATTTGTTAATCTTATTCTTGTTTCTGTCAAGTGCTATATGTGATGATAACTAATTATGTTTATTTTGTTGATTTTTCAAGCAGGTGGGAACTAACTAACGTAGGCATGGCATTGCAAATTGGCAGTAGCTCTTTTTGTGCAGGTTTTTTGAACAGCTACTAGACTTTCTTTTGGATTACGTGACAGCCACCTCACCTCAAACTATGTATAGTTTAACTGTTTTGTAAGAAGAGATTTTAACTTCTTGATGAGGGCATTGAGGGGTATATGTATGTATTATGTTAAGGGGTTTGTTGTAAGTTAACTATATTAGGTGCAGATATGATGAATGATAGATTAACTCGAATGATGATGATATGTTTTCATGTAATGTAATGTTATTCGGTTTATCCGATTATCCGATTAACCAAACCAATTAAACTTTGGTTTGGTTAATTTGGTTTTCGTGTTAATTTGGACGGTTTGGTTAAGATATTCTATTCCATGGTTAATGAAATTTAAGCTCAATTGGTTTGGTTATAACCACGGTAACCATTTGAACACCCCTACATCCTGCACTACTACCTCCACCGTAGTTGATTGAACTACCACCCTCTCCATGACCTCCTGTATAACCACCTCCTTCGTAGTTGCTCGAACTACCACCCCATCCGTACCCTCCTGCAAAACCATCATCATAAGAATACTGGTGAGAATGAGTTTCACCGACCTCCTCGGTCTCAACATACACCTCTGCAAGCCGCATCCCGTTATCGCTTAGGAACTGTAACATCATCGTAACCGCGTCATCATCGTTTATGAAAACTTCTTGGTACACAACCCCCCCAGCACTCATGTCTGGATACCGGTAACTAATTTGCCAAGTCTTGTCTGGCCGCTCGTACAAACCCTGTCTACACAAATATCACGGAGTTCTTGAAAATTGAATCGCGACTCAATTTTCAGCATAGTGGATTCACCGTTCTCATAATCAATCCCTATGTCAGAGTTTGTCACCCTTCCATTCCACCGAATAATAAGCCGAAACTTCTTGAATTTACACATATCTACATTTTACAGTAAGTTAAACTATTAGCTTAAAGACAGTAAAATTAACCAAAACCATATTGTACGACTAATATTACTCCATCTCATAACTAACGTAACATAAATTCAACTAAATAACAACAACATAAATTCAAAAATTAAGTACTACAATTGGTACGATAAGTAATTCATAACATAACAATATAACTACTAAAAATATTATTAGGTTATAATACGAAAATTAAATCATACTATAACTACTAAAAACCCATCATTAAGCTATAATACAAAAATTAAATCATACCGAAAATTCCTGTTCTGTGTATTATGCTCGGTTTTGGTTGCTGAAATTTGAAGAGGGGGGGGGAGTGGTTATGTTTTTATAATTGCTGGTGGCCTGGTATTTATAGGAAAATCTTCCTACTATTCACCGTTTTTGTTAAACACGGTGAACACCATCACCGCGTTTGTCTCAAACGGTGAACATTAGGTAGCTGTTACCTAATTTTCACCTAACAGGGGTTGAAAACGTGCCTAATACTCACCGTTTTAACCTAGAATGGTGAAGGTATTCACCGTTTTGCCCTAAAATGGTGATATATTCACCGTCTCCGACTTAAACGGTGATATATTCACCGTTTTAATTTGAAGCGGTGATTGGTTCATCGTTTTAGAGAAAAATGGTGAATACTTCACCGTTTTAATTTAAAACGGTGAAATATTCACTGTGTTTGTCAAACTCGGTGATAATCTTCACTGCGTTTGTCAAAAAACGGTGAATGCCAAACATGTGTAGTTTTGGAAATTTTTTATAACTTATGTATTTTGAGTATTTTTTTTAAGAACATGTGTACAGTGGGATTTTTTACCACATTTAGATATATCTTGTTTGTTTAGCAATTTTTAGATTATAGGTTTTAGGTAGGGGTGAACGTTTGGGTTTAGTGCTCTAGGTAACCCGGAACCAAAACCAATTTTTTTATTATTATCGGAGAACCGATAATCGACCCATCAATTGAAAAATCGGGCCTCGAGTCCTAATGTGGCAGTATTTCGAGTTTTGGTAAAACCCTGTACCGAAACCTAACGGAACCGAGAAAGAGACATCCCTAAGGTAGGGAGAAAGACCTGATCTCCAGCCCTAGTTAGTCTTAATCTCGAGTCGAGCTGGGGGCATCATTTCATTCTCTTAATGGGAGCGAGTGCACCACAAGACCAGACAAGTTCCTCATTTGCCTTGCATCGATGACATCTATCTTTTCTTTGATGTAAGTTAAGTCAAACCGAAAGAAGTAACTCGCCTCACTTACGAAGAAGTAGTTGGAGGTGGGCAGAGAACTATGAAAGTTTGCTTTTGTTTCATCTTTCTAAGAGCGGTCTGTCCGAAAATAACGAATAATGAAACAATTCATATATTAACATTTCATGCTCATTTAAAAATTTATGTTTTGTTGTGTTTATTATAGTTACTGTTGGGGGTATTACAAAGGAACATGCCCATATAGAGGCTCAATAGGGCCCAAAAGCGGAATTAGTCCAACAAGCTGCAACTGCACGGGAAAGAAGGGCGCATAGCGACAAAACCCTTTGGGAGCCAAAATAGTACGAATGGTTGATGGTCCCCACATGGGCATCTCGAAGGTGTGAGAAAAATCTTGCAAAGTGGTCGAGGCGCCTAATCGTTGGGTGTTACGGAGCACTAAATGCGATGCTGACGCCGGGCGAAAATGGAGGAGCCCTGTCGAGATCATGATGGGTATAAATAGTGATGGTAGGTAAAATTTATGTAGATTGAATTCTCTCACTAACTGGAGCTTAGCACTTCTCTCTTGGGATTATTCTTGGAACTATTTTGGAGGATTTCCTCACCATTGGAGCTCGGGAATCAAACTTGGAGATGGAGATTGAAGATCTATATCATATTTATGTATTCTCTCTCTTATCTATGGTGTAACTTCCCTTCACTTAGATTTTGAGTAACCATAGTTTCATGTGTTAGGATCTTTCTTGTATGAACCTTTTTGGATGCTATACTATTTAATTTAATCAATTGAGGCATGATTTGTTGATTCAATTGAATCCTTATCGTATTCTCTTGATTTCTTCTTTAACCTATGATAGATAAAATCTTATTAGATTAAGATAGCTTCCTTGATTGATAGTAGTGAATTGATTGTGCGAGAGTCAGTCAATTCATTGCTTTGTACTTAAATTTGTTCCAAGTAGTGGAGATCTGTGTGAATCGCCTTAGCATTCTAACCCAGTGAAGGCTAGCCGCCTGCTGGGTATTGTGTCTAAGAGGGCTTGGTTAGCTTAAGAGATTCCAAGCTACTTTCGGATCTTCTGCAGTCTAATAAACAGTAAATCAACCAAAGAAAATTACAACTTGGACCTAATAGAGGAGTTAGGTGGAATCATACATGAGTGAGTTCCCAACCTGTAATTAGATTAACTTCTGTAGTTCGCTAGAGTATTTATAGTTCATCTATCTTAATCTGTTTTGCTAGATAATGAACGAAAGCTGAATAATAGTAACTCTAGTGACCCATGGATTCGATATTTATTACTAGTGCCACTATACTGCAGTCCCTTTCATTGGTTACACTTGGCCATTTTTATGTGTTGTGTTTTAGTGAGTCAAGCTTTTGACGCCGTTGATGGGGAATTTCTAGATTATTAGGAAAGGCAGAAGTTTGCTACTTTAGCGTTTTTATTTTCTTTCCCGCCCTTTCTTTTCACTTGAGTGTTTTGGTTTTGTTGGTGCAGACCTGAAACATGGATCCGCATGGCTTCTCCAACCATTGGGGGTATCAACCACCATCCGAGTGGTATTACCCTGAGACTTCCTGGAGAAATCAAGGAGGAGAAGATTATGGATTCGGGTTTCAGCCCCAACCTCCATACTACGGAGAACAACCAGACCTTTGGGCATCTCAAGAACAATTTCCTTAGCAAGAAGAATTCCTCCCACAACTAGAGGGGCCATATGATTTGGAGTTAGCCATGGCGGCCTTCACGGGCCATTCTGCAGAGCCTTGTTATACTCCATGGTCAGAGCCGGAGAGTAAATTGAATCTTTTCATAGAGCACTGTGCTCGGAACGCCGAAAGATCATGCTCCAAGCTGGATCCTCATATCTGGGCCATTCCCAAAACTGACTTCTCATTTCTCCGTGAAACAGAGGAGACCCTCCAGAGCATAAAGAAGCACATAGAGGTCATTGAGAAAGCTTGTGCACAGTTTGCTCAAGACAACCTTTATGCTACCATACAAGTAGAGGAGGAGGAAGAAGAAGCCAATCATGAGGATGTTGAGGAGCATACAGAAGTTGTCACGGAGAACTCCCGTGATAATCAATATCAAGAATATCCTCTGGTGGAAAATCACACCTTTCCCCATTTCTACTCTGACATGCTGGGCCTGAGGAAGAGATGCAAGATGATCTCATTGAAAAAATTGCTTGGCGACTTCCTCTCCCATCTGTGCTGGAAGAAGAAGAGCGAGAACGGGTAAGGGAAGAAGTTGTGGAGGATGAAGGAAGTGAAGTAGAAGGAGTTATTGAACTTTACCAAGGGGAGATACCACATTTTGAAGAAGGAAGGGGGGTTGAAGAAGAAATTTGCGTTTAGGTTGAGGAAGTAGTTGAGGTGGAAGAGGCTTGCACCGACCATGAGTTACATGTAATATCTCCAACAAACTTGAAGGAGGTGTTTGGCAAGGATTTGTTTGCAGTGTCTTTTTGCTAGACCAAGATCACATCGGCATCGGTCCCTCTTGGTGGACGCAATGGTGGTCAACCAATGCTTTTATATCTGGTTTGGGGTAATGAGACAAGAGAAGAAGCGAAGCAGAGGTATCGAGTGTAGATACGTCATCTTTCTCAAGGGCACGAGCCATCTTCATCACCTATCATACCACCTGCTCATGACTTGAGACTCCACCTGATGGTGAGAACCTCAACTTCAAGGAGGTTTTGGGGTGGATCGAAACTTAGGAGCCATCGTTCAGCTAACGATGTGAAAGAAGCACTTGTTGGGAGGTAACCCAACCAGTCGGTCTACATTTCTTTCCCTATTTCTCTTCGGTTGAGTCAGTGTTATGCTATGATTTTCGAGTCAATAACTCAATCTTTGTGAGCTTTTGTGTGGTGTTTGTGGTTCCACCTACTCTCTCTCTTCCATGGAAGGCATCTCCTATTTCATCCACCATCGTTCATCACCCAATCCGGTAACATCGTTTCCCTTATCCTTCCCTCTTCTCCATTGAGGGCAATGTCGATCTTAAGTGTGTGTGGGGGCGGGGGTTATCGATGTTTATCTTTGACTGAATGGATGTGTTTTTGTGCTTGGAGCCAAGTCCACTGTCCAAATCTTGAGATTTGAGGGCTCCAAGTACTGATGTTTGCATGATCATATTGGCATTGTAATTTTATGTGGTGAATCGATTGGCTGTTAGCATTGATGCATGATAACTTGTTTGAGACTAAGACAACCTATAATGATGACTGAGACATGCAGTAGAGTTGTGTAGGGTTCAGTTTTTCAACTGTTTGCTTACCAACCGCGACTTGGATTCATCACTCATTTTCTACAGTCGTTTATGCATCTGTTCAGGGAATCAAAATGAGAGATATAGCATATAGGTAGCCATGTGAGATTTGAGTCTGCTCGTTTCTTTCTTGTGCGATAGATCCCTATTCCATGATGTGTAGCATTCACGTTGCCACTAATTAGGATGATGGAGGTATAGGATTAACCCACAACCAAATTAACAGTCATGTTGTGTCATACCCCCTAGTTAGCCCCTTTGAGCCGTGTAACTTTCTTTCTTTGTGTCTACATTGAAAACCACCTGTATGCATCTCTTAAAGGTTTCGAATTGTTGTTTTTGCATGTTTTTTTGCTGGAAATAAAGTGAGGGTTGGAGGAAATTCTTAAAGGTTGGTAATGTATGTGCAAGGATAAAAAGAATGTGCAAAAGTGGTGGTTCTCTAAAGAAAGGGAAAAACCCATGTCTAAGACCTTCAGACAAGTTAGTGGTGACACCCGATATGTGAACTCTAGCATTTAGAGGCTGTCGTCATGGTGAAGATACATTAGGGATTGAGAGTACGAGTATGAACACATCTTGCATCAAATTTTTTCCTGACCCCACTAGTTGAGTGTGAGTGATTCAATTTTCATATTATATACCTCGTTGAGGACCTAGATTGGTCGGTCTTTATTTTGATGTCTTGAATTTTATTCATGAGGTGACTATTTTGAATGAGTGGTTGAGTCAAGTCTATGTTGGTCGGTGAAAAGAAGGGAAACTCTTCCTTTACCCAATTTTGATGCACTCGAATGTAATTTGTGGTGGTTGTCCAGGTTGTTGTTGTTGTTGTTGTTGTTCATGTGTTAATGCCTAGTATCTAGTATGATTCACGTGTTTTGTGCCTATATGATATGTCCCAAAAGTTTGTATGGCTAAAAAGCTTTGAGCTAACCATGTGTCTGACTTGGTTTGCTTGGGGACAAGCAAACTGTTAAGTGTGGGGAATTTGATATCATCATATTTGCACATGTTTGCACCCTCATTTCTTGATCGTTTGGGCTCGAGTTAGTGCTTTCTTGGACAATTTTATGCTAGACTGTGCTCCTTTGTCACATTTCAGGTCCTAGCACGTAAAGTGAAGTATAGGCACAAGTTCAAGTCAATCGAAGATCAATTGGCGATTCGAGAGAAGAAACACGGCCAAGGCTGAAACACGAAATGAGAAGCACGACCGTGTTTCTGCCCCCTGCTCGGGAATAAGTCTGTTATCTTCAATTTTTGAGAGGGAGAGCTGGGTTTTGATTCCCAAACACCCAAGGGACGAACCCTAGAGAGAGCGACTTGGAATCATTCTTGGAACTATTTTGGAGGATTTCTTCACCATTGGAGCTCGGTAATCAAGTTTGGAGATGGAGATTAAAGATCCAGATCATATTTCTGCTTTCTCTCTCTTCTCTATGACGTAACTTCCCTTCACTTAGGTTTTGAGGAACCCTAGTTCCATGTGTTAGGATCTTTCTTGTATGAACCTTTGGCTGCTATACTGTTTGATTTTAATCGATTGAGGGATGATTCGTTGATTCAATGGAATCCTTATCATATTCTCTTGATTTCTTCTTTAACCTATGATAGATAGAATCTCATTAGGTTAAGAGAGCTTCCTTGATTGATAGTAGTGAATTGATTGTGCGAGAGTCAGTCAATTATTTGCTTTGTACTATAATTTGTTCCAAGTAGGGGAGATCTGTGTGAATCGCCTTAGCATTCTAACCCGGTGAAGGCTAGTCGCCTCCTGGGTATGTGTCTAAGAGGGCTTGGTCAGCTTAAGAGTTGGGATCTTCCGCATTCTAATCAAAAGTAAATCAGCCAAAGGAAATTACAACTTGGACCTAATTGAGCAGTTAGAGGGAATCATACCTGAGTGAGTTCCCAACCTGTAATTAGATTAACTTTAACTGTAGTTTGCTAGAGTATTTATAGTTTTTCTATCTTAATCTATTTTGCTAGATAATGAACTGAAGCTGAGTAATAGTAACTCTAGAGGCCCGTGGATTTGATATTTATTACTTGTGTCACTATACTACAGTCCGGTGGCGATTGAGACTCCTTTGCTTTACTTTGCTCTAAGGCGAACGAAAGGAAAAGGGTACTTGTGAAAGTTGGGAAATGGAGTGAGTATAAGGGTTACTTGAACCAACAAAGGCAAAGGGTACCGATGGAGGTATTCTTCCTAGTCCACACAGAGGACTCGACAAAAATCATTTTCTTATTTTGTTTGTGTGTGGTTAGTGGTTAACCGCCAAACTAACCACTACCAGAACCGATAAGGCTTAGCGGTTTGGTTTTTCGGTAAATGATTTTGGTTTATTGGTTAACCACTAACTGTCATATCGGTTAGTGGTTAAGCGAAACTGAACCGATAGCCACACATACTTTCTATCCCTCAGGGTCTTCCAGTTGCTAGGGTTTAAAGCCTATCCCTACTATGAACTCTGGCATCCCTTGTGAACTCGAAGATCACGAACTGAGGTTCCCGACCGTAATCTCTTATTGTTGTCCGAGAACTCCTTCTCTTCACCAACTTACACTTCTTGCCCTAAACTCCATCCAATTTTGCATATACCTAAATATTCACACCTAAACATGTCCATATGAAGCAATCCTAGACTAAAAATGCAACCTTTGGAGCTCATTAAGACAAGAAAACACCTAGATAAGGAAGACTAATAACATATATTTTAGGTGTTATCAAAATTCATCTCCTAACCAACTAGAGAAAGTAGAACATATATATAGAGAGAGAAAGATTTACATTGTAATCTCTTAGGGGTTGGATGGATGAAGATTCCTCACTAAATCACTCCAAAATTGAGTCTATACATCTTCACCACACTCTGTTTCTCTCTGGGATGCATCCGTTTTCAAGAATGACCTCTTCTCCTTGTACAAACCCTAGGGATCAGAAGGACAAGATTACAGGCCTCCAGAACCGGATCACCTTGGAGCTGTGAAATGCTAACTTTGACTGCTTGTGAAAACTGGAGATCACGGCGACAAATAGATAGATAATGACAAGTTTAATCAGTGACCTCCCTTCTCTATTCTGAAGTTCTGGTCGTGATCTCGAGCAGATATCCCTTTGCTCTCTACACTTGCACCTCCAAAGACTCCAACTGTGTCCAAAACACCTCATTCTTTGTCAAGACCTAAAAATATGACGGTGGTCATATCATAGACTAGAATTAGAATGTAGTGATTATGAACTCAATTATGCCCAAAATGACCATCATAACACCTGTGTATGGAAAATCATTTAGATATTAATCATATACTAATTGTTATCACTAATTAAAAATTCTAGTAAGATGCAATATACAATCCAACTGTGAAGAACTTGACGTTTGCTCCAAATAGCAAGAAACCGGTAGTAGCCGCCCAACAATTCCACCCCTGTAGACCTTCCTTCCCTTCCATTGAGCACACTTCTTGGTACTCGGTCACGATAAGGGGTGAAAAACAAGAGCCGGAAGGGAGATAACTAGGAGGTGCGAAAGGATTTCTGTAAGATCAGCAGCACTGCTCTATGCTGCCTTCACTTGTTTAACCTTCCACCGCACGTACTTTGCCTTTTCGTGCTTGTATCTTCTCCATTCTCTAACTGCCGCAAGGAGCACATGCAATGACACTGGCAGGAAGAATGGCTGCGCCACGAAAAAAACACAACACATACTAAAAGCTTGAGAAGGTAGTTAAGTAGTTCCATGTTATCACTTGCTAGTTTACACTTAAAGAATGTGTGTAACACAACCAAAGGATTAACTAGAAGTAGAGGATACAGATGGTGCATTGAAATAGAAAAGCTTTACCGAGTAGACAGCAAAACAGTGCTCGAAGGAGAAGTAGCTGACTGACATAATAGAGGGGTGGAAGAAGGCATCTTCTGCCAATGACCTGGCTTGCCTCGAGGATGCTGCTCATGATGAGAGAGAGATCACTTATAGAGACTAACTGCTCAAGTATGTGAAGTTTAGAGGGTGTGGAAGTACGTACCAGCTGATGCCTCATAAAGTCCAACAGAGGCATTCGTTTGGGCTAATTGAGCTGCTTCAAGAGAAAACTTCACCTGCTCCATAATGCAATAACTTTTAAGCTCGAGAAGAGATTCCCCAAATTTCATTGCAGTAGACCATTTATGAACCAAGTTAACACAAGCATTAATCATAATGCATTACTTCCTATTCATTTACATGTTCCAGGAAGCATATGGCTCAACCAATCTTTACATGTTTAGAGCAAAATGGAAAAGGAGAACTGACCTGCTTTCCTATCTCGTCCTTTATGATCATCCTTGGTAGTGATTGAACCTGCACCCCCGAAAAGTTTTATGACGGTGGAACCAACATGGCAAGTAAGAGAGCAGTTAAGCTACTTCCTATAAACCTACCAGTCTGGAAAGAGATCCAAGAGTTGTTCCACTCGAATGAAGATTAAAGCATGTGTGCTGCCGTGACAAGACATCCAACTCCCTGCAAAACAACAATAGGCAGTAGGTCGTCATAATAGACAATTTGGGCTGCCCGTCAGGCTCTACAACACAATGAAAACAGAACATCAACAAGAAGATGACTGTAAAGGAAAATTTAAACAAAAGAATGGGAGAAGAATTATGTTCTTGCCATTCTGTGAAGCCTTTCTCACTAGGTAAGAGCTTGTAAGCACCTGCTGCACCAACGTAAATGCTATTAGATTTTAGACCAAATAGTTGTCGCAGTTGCCCCATGAGAACTTCAAATATCCTGTGAAGATCCTGTGCACAATGAGCACACAAATATGTTCTTCAGAAGCATACTGCGAAACAGTGAGCCTGAGGGAAGAGCTCATAAAACTAGTGTATTGTCAAGCTAAAATTGATATTGTAGAGAGCAATTTGAGGTGACATGAAACATTGATGAGTATTTCACACACATGAAACAAAGCCAAATTAAAAGATGATGAAAAAAAACAGATCATAAATCCCTATGGAGCATCATGCTGCTTAAATGAGTAAGACAGGGAAATTGAGGGGAAGCATAGGAACATCTAATTATGTACAAACAGCCAGCAACACAAAAATAAAGGTCAGATATTAAGTCCGAATGGAGCAACGAAATATCATAATCAAATGATTCTCCACCTCCAAGCTAACATTTAACTGGTATCATGTCCTTTAGGATTATTATGGGGGATGCAAGCATATACAGTAATCACATATGAGATGCAGTAAACTGTAGAGCAGGTGCTGCAACATGGGCAACACCCTAGCTTGACACAACAGGCTGAAGCATGTTCGCAAGCAATGAAGTAACCCCAGGCAGCATCTGACAATTTGACAAATGAAATCTTACATCAGGATGCATTAAGAGTCTAGCAGGAGGCCCGCTTCCTGAATATTTTATGCAGCTCTGGGGATGCCAGACCATGACACCTCCCCACATCTGCATTAAGTCATTAAACAGTTAGCAGGACCACACAAAACTTCAAGAACATACCTGCACGAGCAATTGTGAACTTCAAGATCAGGATACATATAACTAACTGGAGATATAAAGCCGTTTGTTTTAGAAATCTCTCCACTTGGAAGCTGTAGGGAAAGAGGGCATTCTTTTGCAGACGGTACATATCTGAAAGTGAAGGCAGAGAATTAAGCTCATGAAAAGAGTCAAAATTCCTTGAGGATTGGATTTTACATGAGAAGGGATGAAAGAATATACACCACAAACTGCAATATCTTCGTGCGCCCACCAGCTGCAACAGATGTATCTAAATGCCACTCATTTGAGTTCACCTATTTAGCACGCATACAAGGTTTTAGCGAATGAAACCATGGAACATCTTCTGATAGACGGAATGGGCAGCAGGTAGGAGTAAAAGCAACAGTGAGATAATTTGTTTTCCAATCAAGATGAAAGAAATGCCCATAACTATGAACTGAGGAGAATCATACAAAGAAAGAAAGATCTTTGGTGCTGAAGATGTAGCTGCCTAAACTCTCATCCCAGTATGAAAACGAAGACTTTGGGGTATGGTATAATACCTATCCATGAGAGGAAAACGATATGAAGCGAAGTTGATGTCAGGTACAAAAGAAAAGGCAACGTATGGTGATAAGTCAGAAGCCCGAAGTAAAAGGGAACGAAACCATTACTTGGCTTTCAACACTTATGTTCGCTATAGGTTTTAATGCTTCAATAACAGGGTTTAAAAGAGTGTCATCTAATCTCTGGAAGTCCCTGCAAATACACGGGGAGATAAAACAGCACAAACTAAGGTTAGGAGACAAACCATTAGCAAAAGCAAACAGGCATGAGCATGACATTTAGAAGCAAATATCCAGATTCATACCAATCATAAAACCAATCATCCGGATTGGCGTTGAGCAAACTGAATGACAGAACAACTCTCCCATCAGCACCCACTGGCATGAACTCTCCATGAATTGCTCCATCTTCTCTCGCTCCATTCATAAAGACCTTCACGAACATCTCAGCCATTCTCCCTATCATAGCCTCAGCGTCCAATTCCCTTCCCGAAATCCACCCATGACGGTGCTTCCCCACCAATGCCTTCGGCCCCTCGCCAGCACCACCTCCATCCACCACCACCACAGTATACAGTTTCCCGCCATAATCAGAGCAACTCTCATCCAAAGCAGACCGCAAAGCTTCATCAATGGCCTCATCGTCTCCTAAGTTCAGAGCCCCTAACGCACCACATTTGTACGAGCAATTCGGTGTCAAACCGTTACCATGTCGCTCGTCAAATAGTCTGCAAGGACCATCACCCGAATCTACTACTACAGAGAGTGTGAAATTTCCACCGCAAGAGCCACATTGACGCTCTAGAGTTTGGGAGGTCAATTTCGTCATCTCGGAGAGGATCGAACGTCGAAGCTCTCGCGGATCCAGAATGCCGCCGCTAGAACGCGAGTCGAAGTTAAGGAATACTGATTGGAAATGGCAAGGAAACTGCAAAGGGCTCGATTCGATTTGCTTCGACAGCGCGTCCATGTCGCCGAACGGAAGCGGCGATCGGTAGATTTCTACGGTTTTCCATAAGAACGGGAAACCTGAAATGATTCACCATCTAGAATAAGAATCTCACAGACGAAGATAGAAAACGGAGCAGGCGAAGAGTCGAGGAAGAGAAGGAGAGTGAGAGTTGACCTAGAAGGAAGGAGAGAAGGACCGAGAAGGTGAGGAAGACCCGCTTCAGTCCGGGTGTCGTGGTACGCATGGTTTTCGGGTCGACATCTGATTCTCTTAGTGCGCTTGGAGATGCTTTGCTTCGAGAAGCTCCGACAGTCCCCAGCGGGTGTTCTGTGGTGCTCGCGGACTCTGCAATCTCTGCCATTGTTAAGTGATGAGCTTCCAAAGAACAGTGACCAGTGGGTACCTGGCTACCTGATATGGATCCAACCAATTTTTCGCCACTTTCAAGAGACATATATTTTGCGGGTAGTTATCAGGTTGTCAGATTCACAACCAAGGATATTTTGGGTATAAAAAAAATGAATATATTAATTACCTTTTTTGTATTAATTATATTGGGAATTTAATACCCATATTAAATACAATTTTTTTCTGAAATTTAAATCTTATACATTAATATCTCTATCTATCTCTCTCTCTCTTCCTTTCTCTAACAGCCACTCCGCATCGACTGACAAACTTTTTCTCCGGCAAATTCTCTCCGGCAGACTCCCTCCGGCAACCTGAAAAAATGTACCAATGCGTTAAAAAGTGTACCAATCTATTAGTCTACTGGTAATTAATATATCAGTGCTAGTGGTACGCTACCAGTACGTTAAAAAATGTACCAGTACTAGCGGTACCAGTAAAAAATGTACCAATACTAGTGGTACGCTACCAGTACAACGCTACCAGTAGAGAATAACACAACGCTACTAGCACTGGTAGCGGTACCAGTAGAGAATAACACAAAAAAACAGATAATAGTGGTATTAGATGATAGTGGTACCAGATGATAGTGGTACCAGTGAGTAGTGGTAGGGGAGCCACTGGTACGTACCAGTGAGTAGTGGTATCGTACCAATAGGAATTGGTACCACTAGCATTGGCGGTCTTCTCATCGAGATTCTTCGCACCCCCGGCGGTGGCCTTGGCGTCGAGGAGGTCGTTGAAGCCGACGCCGGAGGCCGAGAGCTTGGTGTAGAGACGATCTGGACGTCGATCTGGACGTTGCTGATTAGAACGCGGACCGAGCCGATCTGGACGTCGCGGAGCCAGGCGGCGGCGTAGATCTCGATCATGATGGCGGGGACAGCAGGCTGTGAACGGTGGGCACGGGAGAGGAAGAGGGAGGGGAGGACAGCGGCGCGGGGAGGACAGCGGCGCGGCGGCAGGGGAGGCAGAGGCGGCGACGGTGGTGGAGCTCTTGACGGCTAGGGTTTTTTTGTTAGAGATATGTGAGAGGGGAAGAGGAGGGAGACGCAGGAGAATGGGGGAGGGTCTGTTTTTTTTTTTTTTTTTGTAATAAAAAGTATTTATATGGAAAATGGAAAGGATCTCATGTGGTAAGTTTTCCATTCCGAATTTGCCCTTGGTTTAATCTTAACCATTAATTTAAAAAAAGAAGAAAAAGACAGGAGAGAGAACGTATCCGATGGCCACAAAGGTGGTTGTGAATCTGACAACCCCCAAGGGGGTTGTCATCGTATCAATGTCATAAATATTGTATTCACTCGTACAAAATGATTACAATTATTTAATTTTGTACGATTCGATAATAAAAGTTGGGCAATGTCTATTTTTTACCCAAATTTGTTCAAAATTCTTTTATTTTATCCAAACCTATCGAAATTCTATTTATTATCCAAACGTATTATAACTAATCAAAGTTTGGGCATTCATTCTGTTATCGTTAATTATTTACTAACGGATCTCCACGTCAGCTGTAACACCCCGACATTTGAGTCTAAGTTCGACCGAACAATTGGATCGATGATTACGTACGAAAGATTGCATCCGTGGGTTAGAAATAATAATAGTAGTTATCAATCTTAGTGTTATTATTAATTATATAATTCCTCATCATCCCCACGTTACCCAGCAGCAATTAAAAGGGGGAAAAGTAATAATAAGAAAGCCCAAACCCCATCAGTGCCCCTCTCTCTCTCTCTCTCTCAATAATTCCCCAAACGTTCCAACCCCATTATTGTTCCCCAACGTAAAACCCTATGTTCACCCCTTCTTCTAATTAACGAGAAGCAGCGGAAAAATGAGAGAGGGAGTGTCCGGTAGAGAGGGAGGGAGAGAGAGAGTTGTAGCTTCATCGATCGCTTGGAGAGCCGGAAGCGGATGCCAAAACCCACATGAGAGAGGGGGACAATCAAGGAATCTAGATTGACCGGTGGCAGTCTAAATGGAGTACAGGTCGATCGCAACTGGGAAGCCAAGATCGACAATGATAGCTACCTCTGATGATGATGGCGATTGACAAACAGAAGTACTGAGGGAACTGGAGCGATATATGTAAAAAAATGGTTCTTAAAGTTTACGTGCAAAGACGGTGGATGTCTTTATGTTGCTGGAACTCAGGCGACGTGAAGGGGGAAAATGAGGTAAGGGTCTTTCCTCTCATATTTGATCATGGTGATTATATATACATGGTCATATATAGGCTTGGCAATTATACCCATGCCCATGGGTTTATAACTATCCAACCCATTTGGGTTGGGTCTGAAATCCAATTAAAGTGTAAATGGATAAAGTCAGATGGGTCAATACCCATACCCATTATGTTGGGTTTACTTGGGTTTTACCCATGAACTTGGGTTAAAAAATCCAAACCCAAATAATTAAAAAAAGAAAAACGAAACTGAAAAGAAAAACGAAACTGAAAAAGAAAAACGAAACTTCGGCATTCTCTCTTTCTCTCTCGTCTCAGAGAGTCTCTACCCATCGTCGACGACGAGCCGGGCCAGCCGGCTGAGCAAACAGAGTTACAGAGAGTTAACGACGTCGGCGCCCCGGCCACCGCCGCTAGCTCGAACGTCGCCAACCCGGCCACCTCCGATCTCGACATCCCCCTCCGACCACTGAATCGCATCGCCGCCGCCCAGTCTAAAAAAGCAGAAATCTCTCTACTCATCAACTGAAGCAACAGTAAAAGCAGAGGAAGGAGGCTTGACTTGAGGTGTGTTAGCAGCAATATTTTGGATAGAATGAATACAAGAATCATAGAATCAAAAGTAACATTGCACATAGAATCATAGACTCTGGAAGCTTGGTTGCAACTTCTGCAGGTATCTGCTTCTGAGAAAGCTTTGGCCTCTTCTTATTTGGGGCAGGGGCCAACTCCATCGCCTTATAAAGGGAAGACGAATTAGCATTATTTGATCCCCCAGCTGCCTTCGTAGGAGGTTTATGGCCAGCCCTTTTGGTACTTGCAGTTGCTGGAGTTGACCCAGAAGGCGATGTCAGACCAACATTACCAGAAATGGGACTCTCCAGCTGACCAATAGATTGGCTAGTTGATTGGAGATGAGACTGAATGCGAGCTTGTGCAGGCTGCTGCACTGGTGGTTGTGCGTGGGTAAGCAGCTGAGCTTGTGGCTCGGAGAGTTGAAAGTGGCCGTGGAAGGAACCACCTTGTGTCTGAGGTTTTGATCCATCAGCCCCACTGCCGCCGGGCCTCTAGCTCCTTCTCCGAAACCCTGGAGATCTGAATCGACCGGCGTCCGAACCCGGATCGGAGGCAGCAAGTTCATCATTCCCGATGGCGAGGTCGAACACGACGAACCACTCGACGGCGGGCCGGTTGTGGTCGGAGGCAGCAATGTCGAATTGATCCTGATCCATCTTCCTCGCCGGTCAGTCGAAAGCTGAGGCACCGGCGTTTGGCACCGTCGAAGCCGCCGACGAAGATCTGGAAGCCTGGAACACGATGGTCGCTAGCAGCCAAAGTTACACTTTAGTACCTGAAGTTGTTAAGAAGATACAAATAGGTCCAACATCATATGTGGAAAATTACATTTTAATACATTAAAAATTTTGCTTTACATTTAAACACCTAATAAAAAAAACATATACAGACAGGTCCAAGGAGATGGGTACCCAAGCCCAATCCATACCCAAAAATAAAATCCAAACCCAACTACACCTACCCAAATCTTATCCAAATCCATATAGAATAAATCCATACCCAACCCATATAAATGGATATAATTGGGTTTGGGCAAAAATACCCATGGGTGGGTAAATTGCCATCCCTAGTCATATATAGTTAATTGGAAGACAAGTACGAATTACCTGAGTTCAGGGTAAATGATTTGGGGAATTTATCGATGGCATGCTTTATCAAAAGTGGCTCTATCCTAGGATCTAGGGGAAAACGTGCATGTCTTGCCTAATGGTAGTGTTTTGGCACATAATTAAGCTAAAATACTAATTTGGATCCTTATGCATGGAGTTTGAGACACGTGAATGGAGTATGCTTAACATGGAAGATCCTCTTTAAATGAATACCATGATTATATGGGTTTGACAGTGGGTATTGGAATTAGACTAGATCACTTATCTTTCACGGTGCACACCTAAGTGGCTACGGGTACTGGTATTAAGCTAACGAGGCTTAGGGACTAAAGCAGAGCTATTTCAATGTGGGGATTCACAAACTGGACCATCTACTTTGAAGTTTTAGATAAATAGACACGGTATAACAATATAGGATGTTATATGGGTGACTTTGTGATCATTTTAGGGGGTACATGAATGTTTTTTTTAGGGAAAGAGGAGTACGAGATCACATTACTAGAGAAGGAATGGAGATTGAAGAGAACGACTTCAGTGAATTCGAGCCAATCGATTCGAATAATAAGGTGAGTGTAAAGGGGGTAAAATCTCCGTCGAGGTCTTTTAATTTATGCCTTTTTAATTCAGTTATGTTATTTAATTTTCAAGTAAGCGCGATTATGTGTGTGAGGCATCCCACCGCCTACTTAAGGTGGAGGCACGCGTTGTGCTATGTATGTATGTGTTTGTGATGTATGGATGATGAGAGGATAATTGAACCACCGGGCGGTTGGGCCACTACTGGACGCGGTAGATGGTCGGGTCACTACTGGACGGCGATACGTAACGCAGTAGTTGACCGGGCATGGACTGGACGGCGATACGTAACGCAGTACCATTGCCTTGAGGATAGGGACACCGGACGGCGATACGTAACGCGGTGATTCCCTAGTAATAAGTATATAAGTTAAGGTAGTAGTAGAGAATTTCTATGATTTAAGGATAAAAGTTGAGAACCTCTATGAGTTAAAGTTGAAATGAGTTATTAAGGATGAAAGTGAGAACGACTTTCATCTAAGGAAAGGAAAAGCTAATAACGTGTTTTAGTAAGGAGATTTCTAAGGGCAGAGACCTTAGGAAGTAACGACGAAACTGACCCCTTCTCACTCACCAGGTTGAGGTTGAGTTAGCGGAAGTGTATCCCGAGAAGAAGTAAGATGAGGTGACCGGCCGTGCCAGTACTAGTGAGATGTCAAGGAGCTGGGTGAAGAGTTAGAGTTAAAGCTTGAAAGTTATTTTATGATTATGACTATGAGTATATGTACTGGAGATTCAAGGTTCAAGATGCTGGGTTAAGTTGTTTAAGTATTTGGATTTTGGTTGCCCAAGTGTTAGGGCTTTTCGTTTGAACTTCTTAAATAATGTCAGTTTGTTTATTTAAAAAGTGGTTTGGTTGCTCTGGAGTAACCGGTTTTGGGTTTGAGTTGTGGTTTGATTTTTTGAAAAAGGTCGGGACGTTTTATCAGCGTCCACATCAGCATCCACATCAGAAATTAAAAAAAAATCATAAAAAATGGCAAAATCTCTCCTCCCCGGCGCTGTGACCGCTTTCTTCATCTAAAAATCAGAACCAGTAAACAAATTAAAACCTATTAAAGCAAAGAATAGGCTGCAGAGGTCGATTACGACGAGGGCAGGGAGATATACCCATCTTGTTTTTTGCAAAAGCATAGGGTGGGGGAGAAAGTCGAGGCGGCGGCGTGCGCGAATGGATCTATTGGGGGAGATGGAGAATCGGTGGGTATTAAACAGGGGAGGATTTGGGGGGTTTAGTTTGAGATCTGGGCATCAATTTATCAATTGGTTCGCAGCAATCCAACGGAGCGACAGCACGATCCCAAAGCTTCCCGCTCCGCCTCCTCTAATCGCCCAGAAAACCTCTTCTCCCATGGCCTTTCTGTTCATAATCCTACTGCGAGAATTATGAGGTAATCATCGATCACATTATCTATGGCCAGGCCGTACTTTCTGACCAGAGTTCCAAACCCGCCGCCGAAGTGGCCTCCGACTTCCACCGTGGGGTAGAGTCTCGCCGGGAACGCAAGGTGGGTGCTCAGCCTCGCGATTGCGTAGAAGAGCTCTCCAAGCTGAGCGCCGCTTTGGACCCACGCCATCTCTTTCTTGACTGTTTGTTGTCCTCAGTTGGAACTTGGATGCGCTCGACTGGGAAGAAAAAGAAAATTTTCAATATCGGGGGAAGATTGGAGAAGATTTGGCGGAGAAGAATAGGGGAAAAAGAAAAATCTCGGGGGAAGATATGAGAAGATTTGGTGGAGAAGAATAGGGGAGAGAGAGTGGGTTTAATATTTATTTTTAAATTTATTTTTAATTAAAAATATAAATGGTCCCGACCTGTCACATTGGCTTCCAACTCAGACTGGTGTTGCTCAGTCAACAAACATAACAGAACAGTTAATGGTGGGGTAACGGTTGGATAATAAATACAATTTTGATAGGTTTGGATAAATAAAAGAATTTTGAAAAGATTTGTGTAAAAAATAGACATTGCCCATAAAAATTTGAGCAAATAACAAAATGGTAAATCCATCCAATTTCGTCGAAAACTCCATCCTAGATCGCCCCATCAACATGACACGTCAGTGTAAATAATAATAAAAAAATGGCTAATCAACCCACTTAACCCGGCAATCCAACCGGCCAGATTAAACCCTTTACCCATCTCACCTCTCTCTCTCCCCTGTTTATTGTTTATGTATCTTAATCACTTGTTTCGTTGCTGATCCTACAAATTACTGCTGCAGAATCCAATACGCCGATCGGCGATCGCCACTGATTGATTGGTGAGTTCTTCCAATTGGGGTCGACGTTCTTAGATCTTCAAGAAATCTAGGTATCGAATTGGAGAACAATATAAAAAAAAGCAGCAGATGGATAATCATCAACCACTGCCTCCTTCTTCTTCATCGGCGGAGGACTCTAGTGCTGGCAACAGCAGCAGAGATCAATACCTCAAAAGTCTCAATAAGCTCTCCCACAAGATCTCCAAACCCGCCGTCCCAAAGAAGGCTTTCAATCAACCACCCAACAACAACAATAACAATGACAACAACTTCAATCCTCCACTTCCTCCCCCGCCGCGGATTCCCCCTTCCTCCTCCCAACTGCCGTAGAGCCAGAACCAGCCACAGACGACTACCAGTAACCAAACGACTTAAGAGAAAGCATCCAGAACCAAACGATTTATTCGAAATATTAACAATTATGTACTTATTCACAATAATACAAGCATATTTATTAATAATTATGAATCAATTTTAGTGTTGCTTAATTCACATCAATTAATAGTGTTATTATTAAATCATATGCACAATATTATCAATCATCATTGTTATCAATATGAATGTAATTATCAGTAATAGCGCGAATCACTATTAATGATATGAAAATCGCTAGTGTTAATCTGATGGTAATTACCAATATTAGAGAGAATCATTATTAGAAGCTTTCATATTTGCACGTCAGCTTTATTAAAGTATTCAGATTGTATAGGAAAGGAAAATCGACAACTCTCGACCGATATGCTCTCAACCGATATGCTCTCGACAACTCCCGACGGAAAATCGCCGATGGTGATGGCGCTCGACCCCTCTGGACGGCCGCCAGACACCTCTCAGCCTCCCGATTCTGCAAACCCCTCTCCCACACTCGTTGGGGACACGACAAGAACCCAACAACCGACTCCTATGAGTGAAAATGGCGCTATTATACAGGCTTCGGCGAACCTCTCTTACGCTGGGGCGGTGAGGGGTGGGAAAGTTCCATCCCAGCCACAACCTGACGTGAATCAATGGATGCCAGTTGGAGAAAAAGATCTGGTCCCCAGGGAATACAACGGCGAGCCTGCGTTAAGAGTCTCGTAGGGATTCAAGACTCGGCTCTGCGCTCCGTGGCAAAGAACGCTGGTCGTCCGCCTTCTGGGCAACAGGGTAGGCTTTGCAACACTTTGCTCTTGACTCCGTCAGCAATGGAGACCCACTGGAAACCTGGAAGTCATGGATCTCGACCACGAATGCTTTCTGGTGAGATTAAACAACGAGCAGTACTACTTCAAGGTACTTACTGATGGTCCGTGGACGAATTTTGATCACTATTTGCTAGTCCAACAATGCACGCCGCAGTTCAATAGCTCGGATCCGCTTCCCAAGAAGATTATCGTTTGGGTTCACCTCCTAGCGCTGAAAATCCATTTCTACCACAAGGAGGTCCTGACGCAGCTAGGGAACCTGAGTGGACGAACAATCAAACTTGACTATCATACTCTCAATCAACAACGAGCAAAATTTTCTCGAATCTTCGTCGAAGTCGATCTTGCTAAACCATCAGTTCCAAGGATATTCCTTGATGAGGGGTGGCAGAATGTCGAATATGAGAATCTTCCCATGGTTTGCTTCGAATGCGGGAAAATTGGTCACACGAACGCCACTTGTCCTCTCCTATGACAACCTGAATTGGACCTTGCGGTGATCAGCGGAGGTGGAACTTTGCCGGAGATCGGTTCCGTGGAGTCGCCGGAGCCCCAAGTCGGGTTTGGGCCATGGATGCTAGTTACCAAAAAACACCGGCGCATTTCTAGGGATCCTGCCTAGAAAGGAAAGATGGAAAACGACGTTGCAGACCACAGCCAAGGCAACTCGGACAAGAATGGGAAAGTGTCTTCAAAACAAAAGGAAAGTGGAGAGACATCTGCCGCTCTAAGATCCTCTGGAGCTGTCAGCCAACGTTAATTTGCACAAGTCAAAAAAGGAAATACTCTAGCTAAGAGGAACGGGAAAGAGGCGGACAAGGGTAAAATGAAATTGGTGGTTGAATGCAACGCTTTTGAGAAATGCATGCTTGGCTCGGGCCCAATTGGTAAGGTTGGCAACACAGAAAGAGTTAAGCCGATGACAGATACGGACAAGCCGTCCACTTCCACAAGCAACTCAAACCCTATGAGCTCGGCCCTCCCGCATCCACTCCCTGACCCGTCAAAGGCTGGGCCTCGGACTTCTTTAACTATGCTTCCGGGATCCTCTTCCCCACCGCCGATTCAAATTGTGAAGGGGCAGAACGGAACAACGATGCAGATTGTGACAGTGGCGTCCGCCGACAAAGATTCCATCCGCCAGGGTGATTCGTCTATGCCATCAACTGCGGCAAGGATAAAGCAGACCAAGCCCCCCAAAAATCGACAAAAAAAGGATCTCGCATCAAACACAACCCCTGCAGATCCCTCCAAGTCTGGTCGCCCTTGAAGGAGAAGAAGGCTAAATCGAAAGCTCGTATAGCTACGCTCTCACTTCAGGAGATCAGCGCGTGGACGGAAGCTGCAGGAAAGAATGATGGCACCAAGAGCAAGGGAAATGTCGCCACCCCGATGGTGGAATTGGAAGAACAGACTACCCTAGAAGCTACAGGGGGCCAAGCGGTCCCAACTTGATTTGGGGATCTCTCCCACTTTGATTCTCCTCCTCCCTCTCCTTTTACATTGTTTTATTATGTCTGTTACAACTAGTGTTAAGGTTTTTTCGTGGAATGTGGGCGGGGCAGGGAATAGGGCCTTTGCTCAATCTCTTAAGCTTGCTCTACAAAACCACAAACCTGATTTTGTTTGTCTTCTTGAACCTCAGATTAGCGGTAACGCGGCCAACACGGTGTGTGAGAATCTGGGATACCCGAAAGTGATTAGAGTGGAAGCGGAGGGTAGGAAGGGTGGGATATGGATCTTCTGGGATAGTAGCAAATTCTCGGTTCAGTTTCTATCAGCGTGCAATCAGCATGTGTCAATCCACGTCTCTCAAGGAAGTAATAGCCCCTGGACCTTAACGGTAGTCTACGCGTCCCCTCGCCCAAGTCAACAACACAGTTTATGGGATCACTTGATTCAGCAGAGCAAGTCGATGGATCAACCATGGTTGTTGACAGGTGACTTCAACGCGATCAAGACTGTCAATGAGAAGACTGGTGTGGCTTCGATGTCCACCTTTCGAAGATGCCGTCTCTTTAATGATAGAATCAACCTTGCCGAGTTGATCGATCTAGGCTTCTCGGGGCCTAGCTTCACTTGGACCAGGGGGGATCAGCAGACCAGCTATAAGGCTAGCCGTCTTGACAGAAGCTTATGCAATCTCATGTGGAATTCGAGCTATCCCAATACCTCTGTTCTTCATCTGTCGCGCCTCCACTCCGATCACAACCCCATTCTTACTACAATTGCTACCCAGGGGCATTTTAACCATCACCCGCACCCTTTCAAATTAGAAGCCGCTTAGATGAATCATAACAACTTCTTGGATTTTGTTTTAGGTAATTGGGATGAAAATGCAAATCTCCCGTCTGCTCTCCATAATCTTGCCACGAAACTGCAGATTTGGAGCACTAATGTTTTTGGGAACATTCAGCTTAGGAAGAGACGGCTTCTGGGGAGAATTAGGGGGGTGGAGATGAGGCAAGCCACCAAATTCTGTCCTGGTCTAGAAAAGCTTCACACGAAGTTAGAAGCTGAGTTAGACAAGGTCCTGGAACAGGAAGAACTATTTTGGTTGCAAAGAGCAAGGGAGCAGTGGGTGAAATATGGGGAGAGGAACACAACCTACTTTCACCACTGGTTAATATTCGAAGAAGGCGCAATCAGATAAGAGTTCTCCGGGATTCCAACGGGAACTGGGTGGATGATCCACAGGAACTAGCTTCACTGGTTTTTAAGTTCTTCACCAAGCTTTATGAGCAGGACAAGATGCTTTATGAAGATAGACTTCCCAAGCTTGCTTTTCCTCGCCTGGACAACGCGGACTTGCAGAATCTTCTCCGTCCTTTCAGCATCATGGATATCCATAAAGCTGTCTTCGATATGAAACCGTTTAAGGCGCCAGGGCCGGATGGCTTTCAGGCTGGCTTCTATCAGCAAATGTGGAGAGTGGTGGGAAACAACCTTACTAATATGGCTCTAGCTTTCTTCACTTCAGAGCCTCTTCCGGAGGAGGTTTGCGAATCCACCATAGTGCTGATTCCTAAGGTTGAAAGCCTGGAGCTAGTAACTCAATTGCGCCCAATATCTCTCAATAATGTCAGCTTGAAGGCTATCACGAAAGCGATGACTAATAGGCTAAAACCAGTCATGAGGAAGCTAATCTCGCCCCGCCAAAGCAGTTTCATCCCTGGTTGGCAAACAACGGATAATGTTATCATCGTCCAGGAGATTCTACATTCTTTTAGAAAGAAGAAAGGAGCCAAGGGTGGAGTAGTGATGAAACTTGATCTAGAGAAGGCGTATGACATGCTTCGATGGGACTTCCTCAGGGACACGTTGAAAGAAGTCGGCCTCCCCAGCTCTTGGATCCAGTGTATCATGTATTGTGTTGAGCATAATCGGACGCGGATCCTCTGGAATGGTTAACTCTATCCACCTATCACTCCTTCCCGGGCAGTCCGTTAGGGAGACCCTCTTTCCCCTTACCTTTTTGTTTTATGTATAGAACGCTTATCGCACATGATTGACAAGGCTGTTGAGGATAAGATTTGGAAACCGATCTATCTTTCCCAGGGCGGACCTCCTCTCACGCGTCTCTTTTTTTGCAGATGACTTGCTGTTGTTCGCGGAGGCAAAGCTAAGTCAAGTTAAGATCATCAAAAGCTGTCTGGAAGACTTCTGCTTTAGCTCTGGCCAATGAATCAACTTCAACAAGTCGGTGATGCATGTTTCGCCGAACATCTCGAGTGCCAGGGCGATGAACCTAAGTCGCAGAGTGGGCATTCCTTTAAAGCAAGAGATTGGTCGCTACTTGGGGATCCAAACTATCCATGGACGAGTCTCTAAGGGCAGATACCAACAGCTGCTCTGGTAGATTCAGAAGAAGCTCGCACCCTGGAAAGCCAGACGTTTATCCTTTGCATCTCGCCTTACCGTCCCTAGTTTGGTATCCTCTTCAATCCTTGTGTATCATATGAACTCTGAGCTGATTCCGAGGGGGGGGTGTAGGGATATTGACAGGATTAACCGAGACTTCATTTTTGGTTAGGAAGAGAATAAATCGATGATGCACCTAGTTTCCTGGGAGAGGATGATCCTACCAAAAAGGCAGGGAGGAGCAGGTCTTCGTTCCCTTAGACAAGCTAATTTGGCTATGCTTGCTAAAAGCGGTTGGCGCCTCCTCAAAGAAGATGGCAGTCTGTGGACGGAAGTCATGCGCTTCAAGTACAGTCGTAACATGAAGGACTTAGACATTATCAGGGAAGTTCCTTCACCTGGAACAGTGTTGCTAAAGCCACTGACCTTCTTCGAAGGGTTGCGCTTGGAATATTAAAAATGGTAAAAAAACTAAATTATGGTCGAATGTTTGGATTTTGCAGGTACCTCTCAAAGATGTGGCTGTGAGCGCAATTCTAGGGGATATGGAAGAGATGGTGGTGGCGGATTTCGTCACTCACGAAGGAAGGTGGCAGACGGATCTCTTCACCAATTTGCTTCCGATTGAAGTCCAACAGAAGATCCTGAGCACTGCCGTCGATCCTCTCTCCATGGAGGAAGACACTCTTTTCTGGTCGGCGACGACTAATGGGCGCTTCACGACTAAATCGGCTTACGAGCTCCTCAACCCCCTTCAACAAGATCCCAACGAGAAGTTTTGGAAAATCATTTGGCGACTGCCGGTCCCTGAAAGGATTAGAACTTTCATGTGGACAGTGCTTTTGGGGAAAGTTGCAACGAATTCACTTCGCTTCGAGAGGAAGGTTGCCCATAATCCTTTCTGTACCCGCTGCCAAGGAACACCTGAGACGATCTTACACATTCTCCGGGACTGCCCTGCTGCTCTCTTCTTCTGGACTCGCCACGTGCCAGGGCCGAGACAAAGCCGCTTCTTCATCATGGATGATGCGACTTGGCTTCAGGAGAATTTGAATAACTCGGATACTGTTGATGCAGGTATGGATTGGGCTTCCTTTTTCAGTGTTGCGGTGTGGCTGCTGTGGAAAAACAGAACTATCATCTCGTTCAAAGGAATCGCCGCTGGCCTCTCTTCTCCTTCCCTTGCGCACTCCATCGTGTACAAGGCTAGACTTTGGTATGAAGCGTGGAACTCCCCTTCTTTATTGCCGTGCACCAGAACCCGACCCCAGGCTCGCATCAATGCAGAGATCACTTGGAATCCACCGCCTGTAGGTTGGATGGCCCTGAGCATTGATGGAGCGTCCAATGGGAACCTGGGGAGGCGGGCGTCTGAGGCGTTTTGAGAGATGAGGCCGGGCACTGGAAAGCTGGTTTCGTCGAAAATCTCAGTACGACCACTGTGGCCCTTGGGGAGTTATGGGCCTTTTTTCATGGTCTCGGTCTGGCATGGAAGACTGGATGTCGAGCACTCATTGTTCAGTTGGACTCTCAACTGTTTATCCAACTTCTCCACAGTAGACACGACCCGGTTCATCCTTATGCAACCTTGATGACTGCGATTCGAAAGAAGTTAAGTCAGGAGTGGCTGGTTAGCATCACTCACACATATCGAGAAGGGAATAGAGTCGCGGAATGGCTCTCGAAGCACATCTCGCCTATCCCTACGGTATGTATGAGCTTGCTAATCCGCCACCGGGAGTGGCCTCCAGCCTCCGCGAGGATTGTATGGGGTTAGTTTTGATAGGCGGATTGTTTCCCGTCCTCTTCCTTCCCCTCTCTAAGCCTCCTTTGTAACTCCTTTCTTGGTCCTTGGACCTCCCTCTTAAGCAAAAAAAAAAAAAGTATTCAAATTGTATATTATTAAATTTTTACTATTATCAACGATTATGGAAGGATTATCAATGTTATGAATCAACATTGGTAACTATTTGATGGTAATTATCAATTGTTTATAATGACTTTGTCAATTGTTCATTCTTATAATCATTCTCTTCGACAACTGACTATTAACATTACTTTAAGGTATTGTCACCATTTTTTTTTATCAAATTTCATTGATTTATAATATAATTATCAATGTTAACGCTTGGTATTATTAATGATAGAATCATCATTATTAACAATTTCTCGTCATTTTTTATTTAAAAAAATTGATGATCTGTAATGCATTATGAACGATTTCTCATCATTTTTTAATGAAAACTGTAGATCGTAGTAAACTTTATTTTAACATTGATAAGTAATGACGGGATGGCATCAGAGGAACTCATGCCCAAAAACCCCACCCATAATCCATTTCAATACCAGTTCAATACCGGTGGACAAATGATGACGAGATGGTGTCATAAATAGACGCTCTGGCGGCTGGCTAGCGGACAAGTATCGTTGGCAGACGATAATCACATAGGTACCAGGAAGTTGTCACGGTCGCTGTGGTGTCGTCGTCGATGGAGGGGGAAGACTGGCCGACGTTGGTCATAAGCCACAGGGAGGACTGGTCGCGTTAGCTCGGTCGCTGACACGCTGGCGGAGGGATGGCATTGCAGCCGTATCCGTCTTTCTTGCCGGCGCCTTCCCCTCCAGGATTTCACGTAGAGAGTGAGGCCTGGAATGGTTTTAGGATTTTAATGCTTCTTTCCTATTAATACTAATATATTAATCATTTTTTTGGTAATTAATGTATTAATAACAAACTAACTACTAACCTTACATAACTATTAATTTTCCATAACGATTAATTTTTTCTTAATTTCTTATTTACCCTTAATAACAAACTAACTACTAACCTTACATAAACTAACTAGAATCTTATTAGCCAATAGGAAAGCTTTAAGCATATGCTTAAACTTTTAGGCTTAAGCATAGGATCTGACCCGCTGGAAGGCTGGTAGCGTAGCCCCGGTCCAGAGGGTGTTTTTTGTGGAGAAAAGTATATTGGAAAATGTGGTAGATATATTATTTTATTGATTAAGTAATAATAAAATGTTTTAATTATATGTTGATATTTTTATTATTATTTATGAATAGTAGATCAAATTTATTATTTTGCGCTAATTTGGTTCACTATTAACCCAAGTTACAAGGCATTCATGTTTTAAAAATTAGAACTTATTCTTTTAAGGTTCTAGATTATCAAAATATTTTTACGTAGAATCACGCTTTTCACTTATATAAAATGAACTTATATAATGTTATTGAGTCCTCGCCGCTAATCATACTTATATTCTAACTTTATGGTTTCCATCTTCATTGATAAGGGCTAGCTTAAAATAAAATAAAGAAAGAAAACATATACCCGTAACACAGCCTTTCTCCCCAATTTAGAGGTAGGTTTTCACAGTAAATAATCCCTCCTACTTCCCTCCCCTTCATACTATTTATGTTTAAAAGTACAAGTGAAAACATCTAGGGACTCCCACTTTTCTCTCATCTTTTCCCTTCACCCCATTTTCCCTAGTTAAGCGACAAAGGGTTAGGGGTGTTTAAACGGTGTGATTACCTACCTGGTAACCATTTTAACAGTAGTATTTGATAACGGTTTCGTTTGATTAAATTTTTTATCTTGTTTGATTTAGGTGGTTTGGTTTCAAACATTCCTAACAATTCAAACCAAATTAACTAGTTAAGTAATTAGTCATATATCTCATAAATATTATGTACACATACTTAATATTTTGCATAACCACTCAAGTGTTAAACGTCCTCCCTCTTAGGTTCATAAAAAGTAAAATTCAATATTGTTCATATACTATATATTTGTATTTGTAGAGTGTAGACCACAACATATGGACTCTTATTTTAGAAAAAACTCGTACAATATGTTGGATGAAAACTTGAAACTTGAAAGGAAGGTCTGTTTCATCCTATGACAATTGCTAAGAGAATACGTCAATTTACAAAATACAACAATTCATTAACCCCATTCCATTGATATATATATTATGTTACGTGAATACTTCTATTGACAATAAGATAATTGTATTAGTAACATGCATTTTTCGGCGTCGCCGGCCGTCGTCACCCCCGTCGCCGGCCACTTTCCGGCGGGTTTTCCATCGACTTTCCGGCTGATTTTCCGGCGAGCTTCCCGGGCAATTTTTTGCTCCTTTTCGCGTCCCTCACCCATTTCTTTGCGTCGCGTCTACAGTTCCACTTGAGTTTCCAGGTGTGTTTCTTGTTAACTATTCTCTTTCTGGAAAAAATCGAACTGTAGATTGTAGGACCGAGAACTGTGTTTGCCTGGCATGATTGAATTAGGATAGGGTGAGGGATGCCTTGAGTATGAATGGCTATGGCTATTGTGTGTGTGCTGCCCGTGTGATTGAATTGGTCGGTTATGTTTGATTCTTGCCTTGATTATGGTTGAGTGCTTGCGATTCAACCGGTTATGGTTAAAACTGTTAGCCTAGGTGGTCCTTAAGTGTGGGGGAAGTGATGAACCCATACTGTTGGTCCTGACGAGTTTTTTCTTGGCTCCACCTTTGGTATGTTGATTTTGCAGGAGCATGTCACTCGAACATCTGTTCGTGCAGGACCTACGCCTGCACCCGGATTACGCGGACCAGTTCCCCAAGGTCACCCGCGGGAAACTAGAGCGCCACCACCATATGGAGTGGGGAGTATTCGAGCAGCTCCATTGCTTACATGAGCTCTCCACCGCCATCAGCCACCACGATTGGCGGACGTTGCTGACTATCGAAGAGCCCACCTACACCTAGCTGGTGTGGGAGTTCTACACCACTTTCCACTACCGCCCCAAAGCGGCCCGAGACTCCCACGCAGTTACTTTCAGGCTGGGTGGCCACCCACGGGAGCTAACCATTGACGGGTTGGCCTACACCATGGGGATCCAGTACCACCCCTTCTCGCGCCACGAGGTCAAGGTCCTGAACCCGACAGACTGGAACCAGGATGCATTTTACCGCCAAATAGCCAGAGGCGCCTATGGGTACGACTACTTCTACGCCGGCCAGACATCCGTCCGCACCCTCAAGCCGCAGTGGCACATCCTCAATCTGCTGATCACCCGCTCCATCGTCCCCAATGTCACCGGTTCGCACAAGACCCCGAAGCCGGTGCTCTACGCCATGTACTTGATGGGGTACCCGGAGCATATGCTGCACTTGGGTTCTTTCGTGGCTACCACTTTCTCTCGGTGCCACGGGAAACCCAACCATCTCTTCTGTGGTCCCCTGACCACCCGCCTGGCACGCCATTTCGACATCGACTTCGAGGGACTCACGAATTCTTCTGCACGGGGCGACTCCACCCCCCTCAGCCGGGACGTGCTTCACAATGCACTCCTCCTGACCACTGATGGCACCCGCTCCTGGGTGGATGGGCTCTCCATGCCCCCTGAGGAGGATGAGGATCTCGATGAGGACGAGGAGGACGATGACTACTCCGGCGGAGAAGAGGATGATGGCGGGGCCATGGATGCTGATGAGCCGGAGCCCCCACTCTCTCCACCAGGGGACCTTCAGCCACGACGGAGACCCGAGAGAGGCGAGTCCTACTCCGATCCTTTTGGTCTGTCGATGGCTTCTGGCCCGTCGATGGACTTCTGCACGGAGTAGTTCCAGCAGATGGGGCTCCAGTTCCAGTAGCTCAGACTTCAGAACCGGCAGCTCATGGATCATCAGTTCCAGTTCTACAAGCAGTATTCGGCCCACCAGACCGAGTACCAGTCCAGGCTGACAGTTGTAGACGAGCGCCTCGATCGGATGGAGGCCCAAATGGGAGTCACTGGTGCTCTCATTGAGCGAGAGTGGGATCGCAGCCGCCAAATGATGGAGTACCAGGAGAATATGCTCCAGTCCTGTCACCCGCCAGAGGAGCACCACTGGACCACACGGTGGGACCACTCACCACCCCCACCACCACTGACAGATGGAGTCGACGACCTCATGGACCAGATCGACTTCACCGGGCTCGAGTTGGCTGTATTCGTGGCCCCATTTTGTGTTGTTTTCGTTTTTGTCAGAGTGCAAACTGTCTTGTGTGTTGGTTTATTTTCTTTCTTTTTATTTTTCTTTTGGATGATGTACTATTGGGCTGACCATTGGACCTAACAGATTGTGTTTGAGTTCTTTTGTTCCCTTTAGCTGTGCTTTGTCCATGACTGGTCCCCTCTCTAGTCCGCTTCACTCCGACTGGTCCCCTTTCAGTCTCATGCAGTCCGTGCACATCGGTAACATCGTTCTCCTTATCCTTCCCTCTTCTCCATTGAGAGCTATGTCGATCTTAAGTGTGGGGGGGGGGATGTTTCTCTTTTGACTGCATTAGATCTGTTTGTGTGATTGGAGCCTAGTCCACTGTCCAAATTTCGGTTTGAGGGCCCCAAGTACATGTTTCCTTGCAAATTGCCTGCTCAGTATGCTTTGAATTGACAGTATCTATAGTAATGTGCAACCTAGGGAGGTAGTGTAGCACTATGGAGGATGTTGAAGTATAAGATTTTTCCTATCTAGTTCTCTGCTGTGCCAATTGATTTTGTGAATTAGTGGAGCTAAGACCAATGAATTCATGTGGTAATGGTGACTCTGTTTGGATTGTGTTATGGACTCGTGTATCGAACATGGTGCTCATGTGGAAAATGAAAAGCAGTTCGTCCTCCATGTCGAAATCAATGAAAGCTTAAAACATGGGATAAGCCCAACGTGTGCGGAACCGTTCATTGCACAAAATCGGGTTTTGGAGGAGATTTTAGTGATCCTTATGGGTTACTCCTACAAGGTGAAGCTAAGCTGTCTCTAGTACAAGTAAAACTTCCACCCGTTGAACGGTTTGCCTACTTGAGGATGTGTTTTTAAGGGCACGGATAGAGCTTCCGACCCCCCTTAATTTCATTGACCCTCCACACGAGTTGAGGAAAAGGATTTAAAAGAAGTACTCTGGCGAGCGCCAGATGTACAGAAATTGCTCTTGCTCGACTAATAAGGGTCGACCGTGCAAAAGACTGCAGTTGGAACCCCCGCTAAGTGAATGAAAAAAGAACAAGAGAAATGTAAATGAAAGTGCAAAAGAAGGGGTTCCAACGGTGAAATGAAGTGAAAGAGCACCCTGGTACAACGAGTCCTTGGTTGTGAATGGAGTGAGTCCCTTTATCCATGAAATGACTGTCTTACTTCTACTTCTTCTCATGATCCTCACTTGAGTCTAGTACTCGCATTGAGAGAGATAGGGGACGTCTTAGACAACCATTTGACCTCGTAAGCTGCTTTATGATCTAGAAAATCCTCTACCGACGATCTGGGTTGTTTGTTGCTATAGAGGTCTGGAGAGTTGCATTGGTTTGAGTTAGGTTTGCTTGGGGACAAGCAAACGGTTAAGTGTGGGCGAATTTGATAGACCATTGATTGCACATGTTTTTACCCCTATTTTTGAGCCGTTTGAGATGTTGATCCTCATGTTTTAAGCCGATTTCACGCTAGGTTGTGCGTTTATGTCATATTTCAAGACTTAGCGTTGGCATCGAGGCGAAGAAACAAGTTTTGGGTCAAAAGGAGCACGTTTGGGTTGAAGTGTGCTGGAGGAGCAAAATTCCCGGCCATGAGCAGAAATACCCGACCGGGTATTATTTGGAGCAGACCAGGTAATTCATGTTTCGGGCGTTTGAGAAGCAGAAGGGGGCCCGGGCAGTAATAATAAATCCCCGGTCGAGTATTCTTGGCCCAGGCCGGGGATTAACCCCTGTTCCCCGACGGTGCATTTTGAAGATACCCGGTCTCCACCCAAAATACCCGACCGGGTATTCAGACCAGGGATCGCGGAAGACAGCTTCTTAAGGTAAAAGAAGGACAAAAGTGAAGGGTTCCGAGTTTTAGATAGAAAAAGCGATACCTAGAGAGAGAAAGTGACGAATCTGATTCTGCAAGTGTCCTTGATCGATCTCCATCACTATTGGAGCCCGGCTTGAGCTTGGAGAAGAGCTGATTGAGTGGCAGAAGCAGATTCTCATCCTTCACAGTATGGTTTCCGCATCTGAGCTAGATTTCCCATCTCTCTCTATGGAGTAACTTTCTTATTCACCTGGGTATGAAAAACCCTAGATTTGTATGTTAGGTCTGATCGTATGAACCCAAGTACAGATTCGGTGGTATGATTATGTTCAATTGAGGTTTGATTTGTTGAATGGCATGAATCCTGATCAAATTCCTGTTGTTTCTGCTTTAACCTAGAAAGAGAATATCTGCCTAGGTTGATAGAGCACCCTTGATTGAAGGTAGTGAATTGGCGACTTTAGTCAAGGAGTCAATTCACTATTCTGTACCGAACTTACTTCGGTAGTGGAGGTTGGTTCATTAGGGCCTCAATCTGTTTACTCCGGTGGAGGTTAGTCGCCCGCTGGGGAGTCAAATTGAGAGGGTCTGGAGCCCTTTAGTCGAGATTGCGGACTGTTTAAGAACCTCCCGTAGTATAACTATCATTGAACTTGAACTTGGTAAATTACAATCTGGCTTGACTGTAGTCCAGGGGGAACCATATCCGGGTGACCTCTCTCGACTTGAAAATAACCTTTTAACTGCTTTGCTTGTTTGGATCTTCACTAAAGTTTCACTGCTAAATAATAAGAACTCATGGAGTAGTCATCACACTTAGGATCCGGGTTGACATTAGAACTCAAACCCACTATACTACGCTTTAGGAGGTGGTTACACTTGGCCATTTTCTAGAGTGACGATAGGAGCGAGTCACCTTCTCACTCAAATGGGCTCTCCCTCTCTCTACCTTTCAGCTCGTCTTTTAAATAGGGAACGAGTTAAGTTCACAACCTCAGTTCACTGCCGTGAACTCTGAAACACTTTCGTGAACTCAAGATGGGCGCCGAAACGCACCGCTTCACTTGCATGTGTTCATGCGCAACAGCTCTAGTTCACAGTCTTAGTGACCGTGAACTCAATTAGCGGCAATAACTTGAGATTTGGCCCTGGACGCCTTGATGTTGACGGGCAACAGGTCTTCTTCATGGTCTTAGCCAATGTTTCCAAAAGCGAACCGGAGTATGACCCGATAATGTGAACGAATCGGTCTTTAGCGGTCTAATAGGAATTAAACCGTTAGAAAATCGGTACCTAATAAACAATCAGTATAAATACTCGACATTTCTTAATCATGGTAAACCATAACTAAATTAGTAAATTGCACTCTTAACTCTTAACAATTCCAAAACTTGCCCGAGCGGGGAGCCGGGAGCGGGGCGGCTACAAGGACTGGGGATGGCGACGATAGTGACGGGAAATGACGGGACGGGAAGTGACGACGGAACGGAGGAGTTGCTACAGGAAGAGAGGACGAGGACGTAGACTGGCAATGGTGAGCTGGGAGCTGTTACGCTGACTGGAGATGGCGACGGGAAGCCAGGACGGGAAGTGTTGACGGTGGCAGGGTTTGGCGCCATCTTCTCCCTCTATTCACAAAGAGTCGAAGACGAAAACTGAATTAGAGTTAGGATTTCTTTCCCAGCCCCACGATTTTGCCTTTCGTTTTCGATTTTCTTTTTCAATTTTTTTATTAAATAGAACGGCCGTAAGGGGAAAATTGAGCGACCGGTTCAAGAGGCTCGAACGGTTAACCGCCTCGGCCGCTCAGTGACCGCTTCATAAAAGCGTAGCAGCTAAATGACTGGCCTGAGCCAATTTTGCGCCCGGGTGACGGCTTTAGCGGTCGGCCGACCGGCTTGGTACGCTCTTAATAACACTGGTCTTAGCAGACCGTGAAATTCCAAGGAAAATCGTGAACTCGCCGTTTTTTCAACCTTTCTCCCGGTTTTTGCTCCTTTTCGTCCAACTTTCGACTCTGAGGCTGGTTTCACCTGTTAAATCCTGAAACACACTAAAACACTAGAAATCTAGCGTAAAAACACCCTTTTAGGAGCGAAATTTCCACAAACGCCTAAGGAAAACGGGGTAAAACATGTACAATTAGGCCCGAATCAATCTTTGCTCCAGAGGTCGCAATCTACAACTGATCATCGCGGGCTCCTCTTCTCGTCCATGATCTTTGCCCTTCCCCCGTGATCCTCCTTCCTAGCTTCAATTGTTAATTTTGTGCCCTATTTTGTGCTTAAAACGCATGTATCGACGAATGCATCCTAATATGACATAAAATGCTCTGAGGAACAAAAATGGGATACAAATGATGATAAATTAACCATGAAGATCACTTAATGGCAAGAAAACACTTAATATGAATTCCATATGTGAAATTTTTGGAGTCATTTCTTTATTTTTAATGTCGCGGTTGCTCATTTGTTGTTCTTGCTGCCTTCAATCCATTCGAGTGCAGATTCTCCCCGTAATCCTTGAAAAGAATACAGGTTATTTAGAACCAAACTACAGATTCCTCTTTCTTCTCTGATCAAATTTCCTTTCGCCTTCAAAATCACAAAAGAATTCACAAATTAGGCCCACGGTGGGTTCCAATTGTTTGTACCTTATAGCTCTAGGTAGAGAACCACGGTGGGTCTTGACTCGCGATTCATTCGTATGGTCTAGGCGGGATGAAAGGACCCTGTGGAGAAATGTGGACGGTCCCGGTTTGTCCTTCGACGCTCAAGTGAGTTTCTCATGAGGTAACTTGAGAGAATATTTATAGAGGGATTGTAGAGAGATAACCAAAAGTGGTGGTGTAGAGGTTGAGATCCCTTTTCTTAAAGGACTTGAAATCCCTTATATAGCTGTACCGGGCACCAGACATAAGGCTCCTTGATTTGGCATCAGGCTACGTTTGTCCAGCACCACTCGTAACACCTCTATAATAATTTAATCTTATGTGATAATTTTTTTCGTAACTTAATTCACATATTATTAACTAATTTTCCTTTGTTATTACCTAATATATTCAACATCTTATCAATTTACATTACACAATTCAAACCTTTTGTAAGAAAAGTTACCTTACATAATAGTTTAAACATTAATCAAATTAGAGATGAATCCGTAACTTGATTTTATTATTAGATGACATGTTATAGAAGATTATATAAAACTATTCTATAATAGTTTTTTTAAATATATGACTTAAAACTTATGAAGGTTAAAGGTATATCTATTTCTTATGTAGCAATCAAACAAACCTTTTACGTAAGTATTGGGGATATTGATAAGGCCCGGCCCAAGTTGGTAAAATCCAGAGAGAAAGCCCAGGATGGTCTCAACCCAAAGAGAAGAGAGAGGAATGAAGCCCATTAGGGTCAATTTAGCCCAGGACACTCAGTGTAAGACACATCGGTGGGGCCAAGTCTCTGACAAGGTGCGCATAGCGACAACGGAAAGCCAACGGGAAGAAGCCTAAGGAAAGCCGAACAAGTGATGTCATGCGCCTCAAGTCTCTGGCCACCGTGTCCGACGGTCGAGGCGCATGGCAGGAAACAAGTACAAAGCATTAATGGCCCTGATGACATGGGGCGTAATTGGGGGGCATTGGTCGACGTAGCTCCGAGTATAAATAGAGAGTTGGTGAACCTCATTTACTTAGTTCTATTTTCTCTCACTAAGCTCTTCTCACTTCTCTATCTAAAGATAGTGTCACTAACTTGGGCGTTAGAGTGCTAACGGACCTCCTCGTTCCGTTAGGAGCTTTGTCTGTAGGGATCCGTACGCCAAGGAGGAACCCGGTTCGGCGAGGCGCATAAGACGAGGGAAGAGGAGTGCGACAAGCGGGGAGAGCATAGAGGCTCAAACAATTGGGGCGCCAGGAAAGGGAATAGAGCCAAGGGAACCATGGAAGATCCAAGAACAAGGGAGAAGGAGAAGGGCACAGAGCCTCAAGAGGTCACCGCGGCCAGGCGCCATGAGGCAGATGGGGAGGAAAGGAGTGTGAGCTCGCAAGCGGAGGGTGTGGCCCACTCGGAGGGCGCCTCGCTCGCCCGGGAAGACCTGATACGGATCATCAAAAGTCAGGACCAAGCACTAGAGATCCTAAGAAAGGAAGTCAAGGCGCTCAAGAAAGGGGGCGGGGGCGACCCGCCCACCCTCGGGTCCAAGCTTCGAGAGAGAGAAGAGGACGGGGCGTCTAGCCTCGTCAGGCGCATGGAAGAGATGGGCACCTGAACCGACATCTGAATTCGGACTATGACGAACATAATGGTTGGGAGCAAAGGCGCTTGGGCAAAAGCTTGGGTGTGCGGCAACCACTGGCTCAGAGTATCTTGGTGGAACAGGCCAATTCGGTCATCCCGCCTTGCCCAGCTATGATGGAGTCACGGATCCCGGGGACCACCTGAACAATTACTTCACTAAGATGCAGCTATACAACAGCTCTGACGCCACCACGTGGCGTGCGTTCCCTTCTACGTTTACAGGGGTGATGTTGGATTGGTACCATCAAATAGAGGATTGGAGAATCGAGAGCTTTGATCTGTTCACCTCTATGTTTCTATCAAAGTTTGCTAGCAGGAAACGCAGGACCCTGCTGATAAGTGCCTTGTTCAAGGTGCGACAAAGAGAAAATGAGGCTCTTAGGGACTTCTACGAGCGATGCATGTCTGTGGCCATGGCGTTGAAGGATGTCAAGCCTCCGGTCTTGGGGTGCTGCTTGGAGGAATGCACGACCAGCGAGGAGTTGTGCAGGGCGCTCTCCAAGAGAGATGTGGCGACCACCGATGACCTCGATCGAAGAGTGCAAAAGGTAATAGTGCTAGAGGAGACTTTGGCAGCGAGGCGGATAGATAGACGCAAAGGACGAATGGAGGAGAGTGAAGGGTACCGGGCGGCGCGTCCACAGCAGGCCGCAACCAACTCCTCTTACGCGCGAAGACCGGACGCCTCACGACCCGTGGTGAAGAATGGGGGAAATTTTACGGAGCTAAATGACTCCCTGAATAGCGTGCTGCAGTATGCAAAGGATAAAGGGTACCACCTCCGTTGGCCGGGGCCCATGAGGGGGCCGCCGAACGAGCAAAACCTGAATAGATACTGCGAATTCCACAGGGAAAGGGAACATCACACAGCGGACTGCTACCAGTTGAAGTCAGAGATCCAAGGATTAGTAGACAAAAGGATGTTGAACGACTTCGTCAAAAAAGGGGAGGAGAGGACGCAGAGGGCATACGTGGCACGAGAGGAGAAAGCGAGAGCACCTAGGGGAGGAGTAAGCCCCGAAGGTGCATAGCCTGCGCTAGAGGGGGCATTGCCTCCACCCCCATTCGATGTAGAGCAAAAGCTGGACCCGAGCCGGGTAAGGTTGACCATCGAGGCAACCACGGGTTCTATCGACCTGAGGCAGAAGTTCGAAAATGGAAGACAATTGAAGTCGGCGACGGCGAGTGCGCGAGAAGCCATACAGATCCATTTCAATGAGGTGCCCAAGGAGGCATGTCGGACGCCCTCCGTCGAGGTGCTAGAAATACGGGGCGTGGTAGCCGGGTGCAAGGTGAAGAGGATGCTGGTGGATACCAGAAGTTCGATGAACGTGCTATTCTAGTCCACGTTCGAGAATTTACAACTGTCGCCAGGCATCGTGAAGCCAGCGGATACCGTGCTAATAGGGTTTTCGGGGGTGCCGGCCAGGTGCTGGGACGCGTGCGTCTACCCATTACTTTGAGCGACGAGGAGCATAGCGTGACCCATACGGTGGATTTCGAGATTGTGGATTGTCCTTCCCCGTACAACGCGATATTAGGGCGCCCGCTTCTCTCCCTTTTTAACGGAGTGGCTTCCTCTTACAACCAAACGTTGAAATTCATAACCCTTAAAGAAATCGGGATATCAAGGGGGGAAGCGTCTTCAGAGGCACGCCTAGCAAAGAGGAGTTAGATGTACAATATAGACACGCGCCCCGAAGACTTGCCTAGGGTGGAGGCGGCGGATACAGAGGTCCACGTCCCCCTTGATGACCACCGCCTAGAGTGGTGCTTCCTTGTCTCAATGCACACCCCCGGAGAGGAGATTGAGCCTTTGGTTCACCTGTTGAAGGAGTTCGTTGATCTCTTTGCATGGAGCGCTACGGAGATGCCGGGAGTAAGACCAGCAGTGGCTGAGCATCGACTAGCCATCGAAAAAGGCGTATGCCAAGTGCAGCAGAAGAGGCGCCCCCTGTCGGAAGAAAAGGAGGCGGCGTTGCACAAAGAGGTTGGGAAATTGATGGAAGTAGGGTTTGTAGAAGAGGCCAAGTACACGACATGGTTGTCTAATGTGGTGCTCGTGCATAAGGCATCCGGAGAGTGGAGGATGTGCGTTGATTACACTAGCCTGAATCGAGTTTGCCCCACTAATGCATACCCCATGCCAAGAATCGACCAGCTGGTGGATGCAACGACATACCACAAAGCGCTCAGTTTCCTGGATATGTTTTCGGGATACCACCAAATACCCTTGTGCGAGGAAGATACGGAGAATATGGCGTTCATGAAGCCATTTGGGAATTACCGTTATAAGGTGATGTCATATGGGCTAAAAAATGCAAGAGCGATGTACCAACGCATGCTGAACAACGTGTTCAAGAATCAAATGGTCGGAACATGGAGGCGTACGTCGACAATTTGGTAGTCAAGAGCAAGGAAAGAGGTAATCATCTGAGGGACTTGCGCGAGACCTTTGAAACCATGCGCCTTCATGGCTTGCGCCCTAACCCTCTGAAATATGTGTTCGGCGCGGAGGCTGGAAAATTCCTTGGTTTTATGATTACAGGAAGAGGAATCGAGGCTAACCCGAAGCAAGTGGAGGCAATTAGGCGCCTTAAACCCCCGTGGACGCCCAATGAAGTGCAGAGCCTAAACGAACGCTTGGCAGCACTGGGGCACTTCATGCCCCACTCCGCAGACAAGGGCACTCCATTCTTCCGCGTCCTAAGAAAGGCCTCGCGGTTCCAATGGATGGAGGAATGTGATGAGGCTTTCGAGCGGCTGAAGATATTGCTGACGGGCCTACCGTCATGACGGCTCCAATAAAGGGAGAAACGCTACATCTCTACATAGCGGTTTCACGGACGTCGGTCACCGTAGTACTAGTGTCGAGGGAGGGGGATGCCGCAGAGGAAATTCCGGTATATTATATGAGCAAGATAATGACAGGTTCGGAGACGAGGTACGCTCCCATTGAGAAGGTGGCCTTGGCTGTCGTAACTGTGGCCGAAAAGTTGCGACCGTACTTCCAAGCGCACCCCGTGGTCGTTCTCATCAATCTACCGCTAGGAAGTACCCTAGAGTAAATAGACGTCGCAGGGTGCCTGGTGAAATGGGCGGTGCAGTTGAGTGAGTACAACATACGATATGCGCCTTGGCCGGCAATCAAGACGCAAGTCTTGGCAGATTTCGTGGCAGAAAGGGTCGTGAAGGAGGGAGAGACGGAGGGTGAAGATTGGAAAGTATACGTCGATGGGGAAACCAGTATGTAACACCCCGAGTTCGGGTATAGGTTCGATTAAAGTTTGACCGAAAAGTTCGAAAACGATTTGATTGACGATTACGTACGAAGGGATAAAACCGTGGATTAGCAATAATAATAATAATATTATATTATTAATAAAAAGGGAAAGGAAGATGGAAAAATCCCCTCAACCCAACGGATCCATTAATTCCCCACCCCTTCCATTAGTCCCCCCAACAAAAGACCCTTCCCA